TAACTCTGCATTCCCATGCAAAACTTCGAGAATGGGTGATCATCGTCTTGCTTTTGTCGCCGTCGTGTGACGTCGGAAATTCGGTGGGGTGCCCGGCCCCGCTCCGGCTGCGGCGCCAGCCCCCTTTTACACAAGCCATCCCATGGGTGCAGGTCGGGCCTGATCGGGTTTGGGGCACTTCGCTCTCTCCCGATTCTGCTTACCCTCAGAGTTGGGAGCTCGCACAATGCCACAATGGTCTCACGTGGATGTTCGAAGGAGAACCGCCGCCGGTTCAGGAGAAAACGCAGGAACTCACCCAACTAGCGGAGCGCAAGCTCATCCGGAATGGGGTCGTTTTTTTTCAATCCCACAGGGTCCACCACTATTCATGGCCTGCTCAATGAATCAGTGTATATTTCATCATGTTTTGTGGTTTTGGCCACTTGCATGTGCATGAGGTTACTCTTAGGCTAACGCAAAGACGAAAGGATTTGATAAGAGAAATCTTATGCTATGGTTGAAGCAACGAAGAATAAGATTGTCGGGAATCTGGTATCGTCATGCTGCTTCGTATATATAGGCTTCGCGTCATTTCCAAGTGGCTGTCGAGGTGACGACGTGGTAAACTGCGTAGTTGCATGCCTCATCCTCTAAGAAACAATCCTGATCAAAGCGCAAACCGCGTCTCACTAACGTCCATTGAGCATTACTATCAGCTTGACAACCAACCAGCAGATCCATTAAACTTTATGCTCACGTTTTCTATCCGGCCACAGGATCTCATGAAGTGCGTGGCATGGCGTCGGGCATCGTTGCCTATAGATTAATGGAGCTTAAGCAATCTGGACTTGGCGGACCTGTAAATATGACGGTAGTTTTTTGAGCTAATGAAGTGTCTTGTCTTTGGGTAACAAACAACAAGTGGACTCTCTAGAAGCGCTGTTGAGGACGGCAGACACCGTGGCTCTCCACGTGCCAGCCACACACACACCACCACCAACAAAACTTATATGAGACAATCACACTCAGACTCTAGTGGTTAACAATGCCGTAGCACGGTCATTAACATTGATGCTGCCAGGAATACTGACGAGAGCGGCAAGATTGCTGATAGTTGAGGATGCTCCCAGGGAAATTGGCTACGAACGACGAGGCGTGCGAGACAATCCTGCGTGGCTTTGCCGAACGTCATCCTTACCCCGACTTTAGAGGCAGGGCAACATTACAGTGGAACTAAGCCTCAAAGTTGGGGAGTTACTTAAGTAAAGGTACTACGACGGCGTCTACTACACGCCGGATCGATTGCTGTCCCTCCACAACAATAGATGCGTATTATCACACGCTTTGTGATGTGCCTGGTTGCTGAGCAAGATCCACTTGGTGTTTCCCGACTTTAGCATTGACGCGACTTCGCAGTACCTCCCCTCGCCACGGCTACATTGAGCTGTAAGTGGAGAAGATAACGCAATGGGTGGTACCACGCGAGCTCAGGCATACTATGGACCTTTTTGTGTGTACCATCATCTAAGCGACTGCGCGCATTGACATGATCATGGACGAGTTTGAAGGAGGAGACTGAAGAGACGGAGACAAGAGGCTGCAAGAAGGCAAGAAAGGACTAATCTACAGACGACATTGCGCATACACGACGAAAGTTCTCGATTGCTTGACAATCGACTGGAGATGCAATTTTTAATAGATGTAAGAGGTCAAGGAGCGGCTTCTTCTTGTAGATGCAAACGAGTTGGGGATAGGACGTACTCATGATCATTTCGGCAGTTGTCGATGCTGCGTATCAACAAGGTTGCGAGAATCAGCATTACAGAACAACGACGTATGGCAAACTCAGTGTTATTGTGACGAAGGCTAAGCAAAAGAAGCTATAAACTGAAGACCTTATAATTGAACCCATCCGCGGTACTGTCAGCTTCTCATTCGGTGATAGTGCAGGTGCCAATGTGGTGGCACCTGCAACAGCATTGGTAGGGCAAGCTACGTTGCTGGAGTATCGCAATTCTTCTTAGCGCTCCAAGATTGGAAATGGGAGAAAAACTTAGATCACAGAAGCCCATCGTGCCGCGCCACCCCACAGCGACTTCGGAAGGCTATGCGTGGCATATTACGACAACCACATTTAAGGAGTTGACATAGCCCAAAACTCCGACCAGCGAAGTACGATCGACTTGGAGCAAGAGAGGAATGGAATCCACTAGAGAATCGCCGCATCCAACACCTAAGATCCAGGTACGGCAGCTGACTTCGGCAGCTTCGTAGAGCTCAAGAGGCTGAAAGGATCCTCGTACAAGCGCCTCTGCTTCTACACGGATTGCCGTGGAGCGTACTTGACTCCATTGCGAACAAACACCTTCTCTCCCTCCTGAAGAAGCAATCGTTTCGGAGGTATAGAGGCTCGAAAAATAAACTAACGGAGACTTTACGGGAGCTACAAAGCTCGGCTGCAAGCAAGTGCATGGTTGGCAGCGGCACTAGAGCAGACACCGCCAGCTGTCAAGACCATGGCAACATGCCTGTGGGTCGCGTATCGAGTTGCAGTGAGGCAACTCAACTTGTACCTATGCAGGACGGAAACGTAATAACAGTTGCAGTAAGCTACAATGTGACAGAGACGGTAGAACACATCTTCTGGACGTGCCCCTGAGCGCAAGCCTGTTGGCAGAAGCTCATCTGCCAGTTGGGAGCTAGGATGGCTACGCGGCTCCTCGAAAACAGTGCAAGCTGGCGAGCACCAGGGTCTCCAACGTTATCATGTAACAGCTTCACCGACTTCATCCGGATGAGGCGGACGCCTACGGAAAACTATGGAAGCGCATTTGGATTATCGTTTGCAGCTTATGCATCACCTCCTTGTGGGGTCAACGAAAACGAGTGCATGCGAACGTGTCTATCGACAGCAGCGTCAAGGAGTTTTCTGAAATCCGCATGCGGCAACTCAAAGCTGTAGGGAAGCGGGAAATATGAACATGTACCTTATATTTGGGAGTCAGCTCGCCGACTCCCAAATATAAGGTACACGTTCATAGAATGCCAACGCGAATTGGCAAGA